AGAATTGAGCCGGCATTTGTTTAAGGTGATGGGGTCGGTAGATCTGATTACTTTTTCTGAGAGTTTTGTCAAGAACGGAGTCACGCTGGTGATTTCACTGGGGATCAATTCAGAGCTTTCTTTAAATCTAAAATTGAGGCTATCCAGCACGATCTGGACTCAATGGTCAGTTTGGCCAATCAAACTGGGACCTCTCCATCGGCCCAGTTGGTTGAGTTTCAGCCTGTGACATCTAAGGTGTCCAGGGTGCTGGTACAACGTAGGCCCACCACCTTGGTGCTCCATTCTTGCCTATCATATCTTCTGAAAGCTGCTGATTGTGTTACTGTGGACTGGGCCATAAACATTATAAATGCCTCACTCAGGGAGGGCCATCTCCATCCTTGTGTGTAAGAAACCATCATATGACTCATTGTAAAGTAGTCAAACTTAGCAATGGGTAACCTAAATGGTTTTAGGACCATTGCTAATATCCCTTTTATAGGCAAGCTGATCGAGTGGGTGATGTATCTCAAGGAGGAAGATCCATCCCAGTCTGAATTCAGGCGATGCCTTGGAAATGGGACAGCACTGGTCATGCTGCATAATGACCTTTTAAGGGAGGCTGATGGGGGAGGAGTGACCCTGTTGGTGCTCCTTGCTCTCTTAATGGCTTTTGATACCATCAACCAAGGTATTTTCCTGGATAGATTGGTGGGGACAGGGATCGGAGATCTAACTGTTTTGATCCTTTTTTGGGGGTCAGGTCCAGAGAGTGCAGCTTGGAGATGAATTGATGGTCCTATGGACCCTCAAGTATGGGGTGCCCCCTAGGGTCATCAATCTCTCCGGTACTTTTAAACATCTGTATGCTGATGACGGGGCATGGTGGTGCTGCGGGTTAAACCACAGAAGCCTCTGTGCTGCAGAGTCAGAAGACCAGCAGTCGTAACATCAAATCCACAGGACGGAGTGAGCTCCTGTCACTTGTCCCAGCTCCTGCCAACCTAGCCATTTGAAAGCATCTAAAAATGCGAGTAGATAAATAGGTACCACCATGGTGGGAAGGTAATGGCGTTCCGTGTCTAGTCGCGCTGGCCACGTGACCACGGGAACTGTCTTGGACAAATGCTGGCTCTATGGCTTGGAAACAGGGATGAGCACCACGCCCTAGAGTCGGACACGACTGGACTAAATGTCAAGGGGAACCTTTACCTTTACCTATGCTGATGACATGCAACTCTGTCTCTCTTTTTCATATTCTGCAATGGGTGCTGTCCAGGTTCTTCAGCACTGCCTGGTCTCAGTTTTGGAATAGATGAAGGCTAATAGACTAAAGCTGAAAAGAAGGAGAAAAGAAAAATATCTTCCTTCTCCCCAGGCTGGATGGCGTAACCCTTCCTATTGGGGACCAAACATACAATTTCTGCATATTCTTTGACCCAGCCCTTTGATGGGAATTCCAGATTGTGGCTGTGACCAGGTCAGCTTTTATCCAGCTGAGGCTGATCACCAAGTTGAGCCACTGTGTGGATGGGGATACCCTAAAGATGTTGGTGCATGAACTGTTAATCTCAGGGATCAACTACTGCAATGCTGTCTATATGGTGTTTTCCTTGAAACTGACCTGAGAACGTCAGCAGGTGCAGAATTCAGCAACCGGGCAGGTGTCAAATCTGAATAAGTTTGATCACATTTCCCCAGTCCTGACCTGCCTGCACAGCTTACCCATGTTGTAAGGTAAGATTCAAAGTGTTGGCTCTTATCGCTAAAGCCCTTCATGGTTTGGGACCTTGCTACTGGTTGGAGTGTCTTTCCCTAAAACATCCACCTGTACCAATACTCTCAGGCCATGCTCCTCTGGACATCATCTACTAGAAACAGAGCCTTCTCGGTTATGGCTCCCATCCCTTTGGCATGCTTTTCTGGTAGAGCTGTGCCTGGCATCTTCCCTCACAGCCTTTAAGAGGCTGTTTACAGGAGCCTTTGAAAGCATCCTCTCTTAATGTTATATAGACTAATGATTTTGATTATTCCCGTTTGCCATAGTTTGGCTCTTTTTTGATTTATTAGATTATTGCTATTTTATTTGTGTATATGTATGATTTGTTTTTTAAAATAATTTATTTGTGATTTATTTTATATTTATGTTACTTTGGGTGTTAAACTGCCCAGAGTAGTGTCCGGCAATAATTGGCAAGTATTATACAAGTGTAATAAATAAATAAATAAGTTTTACCACATTGGCCATGCTCTTTGGAGGGTTCTGGGTATAGTCAACAAAAGTAACTTTTCTGACCTCTGGTTTTTCTTGTTTTAGTGAAGAGAATGTTGGTCTCTTTCAAAAACAGCAAGAGCAAAAACACCTTTAAGACTAACAGATTTATTTGAGTGCAAAGTTTGAAAGCATGCAAATGCAAGTCAATAAACAGGTACCACCTTGGTGGGAAGGTTCTGTGTCTGGACTAAATGTCAAGGGAAACCTTTACCTTTACCTAAACTTTTTAGGATTATATTTCATTTCTTGTCTCTGAAGAAGTGAATTGCATTTCCAATGCTGAACGCTCACACTGAAATAAATGTGTTAGGCTTAAAGATGTTGTTGTGGCTGCTGCTGCTTTTCGTCTGTTTTGCGAATTAGATTATTGCGATAGGTTTGTGGCAAAAACAGTTCATTCTCATTCAACCGAACAGTCTGTGAGTTTCCTGACGTTCAATAACCAGAGATGCAGATAAATGTATGCTCTGTATACAGTATATGATGTATGTGCTCATCAGCATCTTGTATACCTAGAAGCTTTAATAAATCAGGATTAGGTAAAGGGGTTTCTACAGATACGACCATACAGCATTTTGTTTAAACAAAATATTTTGGACATGTTGTTCTCCTGCCTCCTTTTGATTGCTGTATGTGCTTTTAAAATAGTAGAGGGCTCTTTATGTGAAGAGAGAGAGAGAGAGAGAGAGAGAGAGAGAGAGAGAGAGAGAGACCTTTTTAAACAGCCAAAGACCTGATTGAGAGCTTAGCATGTCTCTCTAAATCTCCCCTGGTAGGCACAATTCATTTTATGTCCTGTAATGTTTGTACAGCATAGCTGTAAGCTGTAAAAAAAACAACATTTTTGTCTCTCTCTGCAGTTGTTCTGTAATGGATGACGAAGTTACATTCATTCAGACATGTGCAAAGTGTACAGCTTGTTAAAAATGCTTTGGGGTCTTTAGAAGCAAGAAATGCACCTTAAGTGGGTTTATTTAGCTCTGTAGGTGCTGCTGTTATGCTGCTGATAGCCCATTAAGCACTGTTTTTGGGGAGCAAGGCAGTGTGGTGAAAACAGCAATACATAAGTAATAGGAGGTATAAGAGGATAACTATCTAACCTTTGAGAGAGGTAAACTCCATTTTGTTTAAATGGGGCTTACTGCCAGGTGCATAGGACTTCAGTGTTTGAGAACTGTGGACCTCGAAGTCTTTTGCTCACATTTTATCTTTGCCATGACCTCAGCATCTATAGTATCTATCTCTCTTAATATCAGTCAAATGGATATGGATGTGCTGAACCCAAAGCAGCTGAATGGATAAGGCAAAAACAGTCTCTTGCAGCCAGAAAATGAACACAAAATACGCAAGAAAGCCCTTGTGCCTTTTCTACCCAACTGTTACTATGGATTTCAGTCTGTCCATGTTAGGATGGTATCTCAAGGGTGGTGCCTTCGAGAGATGTTGAAGTATAACCCTTATTACCTTTAGCCTTTTTGGCAATTGCTGGTCCAATGCCTGCGGAGCACTTAGTAATGGATAACATTTCCTAAAACAGTGGGATCCTTGGGAAATGATAGCCAAAAACCCAAGAAAAGTTGTAGTGAACAAGTCCACATTTTTTTAATATGAGAAGAAAGATAAATGAAGTGTTTTAAAAAAAGGTATTGTGTAGAGAAAAACATGATGCCAGGGAAATTTGGTAAGTATTTGGGATCAGTGTTAGAATACGATAGCAATTCTGTACAAAGAATAGGTTTTGTGGTGTTATAGACCAGGCAACAACTAGTATTTCATATAATATACTTTGCACAGTTAACATTTCTGGTACATCAGTGGTAGCCCAGACTCTGAAAGCACTTCTTGTCATTAGAAAGAGACCCTGGTGAATAAAGGCCTTGTGCTGCCTGGAAGCAATCTCACCTCTAATTGTGGCTTCTGTCCTTTTTTTCCTGCTATCAATGTTTTCTCAGTTCCAGGAATTATTGTACTAGGCCAGGTAGTATAGGAGGATTGAAAGTATCAGATGAGGAGCGAGATGTCCGTCACAAAGCCTACTACAGAATCCCCACTTGGTGAACCTTTTTTTTTTCTTTCATCATGGAATTTTTCTGATGTGCAGCGGGTTTCATCTTACATGGAGGATTTCATTTAGGTGTGGGCTCTGGGAGGTGACAATCTCTAACAATGAAGCTGAATGCAAGTGCGGTAGATATGAATGCACTATGCAGCTCATGGAGGTCCTTCCTGGCCATGTACACAGCAAGCTAAGAGCAGGAAAGCAAGTACAGAACCTACACTTTGAATAGACAAAGGAACACAAGTACAAAAGAAATATTTTGGTAAATGAAAGCTGTGGTTCCATGTAGAAATAAATCAATGAAAATTCTCTTTGATACAGTGAGGATGAGCAAGCAAGAATTAAATACTACTTTCAAATGGGGTGGTGGTGGGGTAGGTGAGGTTGAAAATCCAAAAGAAAAACTCAGCTATAAGAGATCCATGGTTAGCTATCCTGATCTCTTTTTCTTTTGCTAAATGTATTGGTTACAATATGAGGGATTACGGCAGATGGAAACAAATAAGAAATCCAAATGGAGGGGGGTTTGCACAAATGAAGTGTTCCTTCGATTTATGCAAGAAATTGTCTGTCTGCATGTCTGTCTGTCTGTCTGTCTGTGCAAGAAAGAGAAGTGCTTCAGAGTATGTGATAATAGGCCCTTCAAGTAAGGGAGGAAAATATGATTTGTTTTTTTACTTGCAGGAAGTTTTTGAGCAGTGATAAGGAGAGCATTTTCACCATGGACCACTTCCCTCTTTGGTACCGCCGAGCAGCTGAATATCCTTCTGGGAGCTTCATTTATAGCTTTTCTTTTGAAGAAGCATCAGGTAACTTCCTGTAATTCATCTTTTAATACAGTTGATGCAAAGTCAGACAAAAGTAAGCTTGTTAGTGTAAATGAAGGATCAGAAAATTAGGATATTTTTCACACACACATGCACACGCAAACATTCTTTACCATTTTGAAACCTGGTGAAAATGTTGTAGGGTCAACGACAGATGTTTATTCCTACATAGCACAATATATTGCATTATTTGGAGCTGCTGGAAATGGTAAAAATTCTGCACACAGACATGTGTACAGAGTACTTACCTACCTACCTACCTACAGTTTTGCAGTTTGAATACCTGAAAGATCAAGAACTGAAAACATAGCTTTAAAACACGCATATGGTCATGGTACTTGGGATTTCTGAACTGAGCTACCTACCTACCTACCTACCTACCTACCTACAGTTCTGCAGGTTGAATACCTGAAAGATCAAGAACTGAAAACATAGCTTTAAAACACACATACAGTGGGGTCTTGACTTAAGAACGGCTTGAGTTAAGAACATTTTGACTTAAGAACCGCTCTCATAGGAAAATTTTGACTTGACTTAAGTACTTAGATTTGAGTTAAGAACTGAAAAAAAACCACATGGGAGGCAGGGAAAGTGCAAAATTTGAACTTTCAGTTAACTGTTGGCCAGTGAAAAGGGTCCCTGTCTGCTTCCTCACTCCTCCCAGCGTTTAGAGAGTGGATTGGGAGACAGTCTTCAGACTGCCTGGTACTGTCCTGCCTGGACTGTATTTTCCCTGCCTTCCCTGAACCTTTCTGGATCTAAGGAAAAAAGAAACAAAATATCCCCCTCTAGTGGTCGAAGGCAGAATAGCAGCTTCCCATTAGTTTCTATGGACGGAAAAGAGCAGATACGGATCAAATGGTTTTCAATGCATTCCTATGGGAAATGCAGATTTGACCTGAGAAGTTTTTGACTTGAGAACTGCCTTCCAATACGGATTAGGTTCCCAAGTCAAGACCCCACTGTACGGTCATGGTACTTGGGATTTCTGAACTGAACACACTTGCCTGATTCATCAGGAGTAGGTCAGGCCAAATAGGGTATTTAGGTCTATCATGAACAAGTTCTGCATACTTGGTCCAACCTTCAGATGCCTGGCTTATTTTCCATTGCTTATTCCCCTTTTCCCCAAACTCTAGATCTATAAACCTTTTCTTGTACAGAAATAGCAATGGCAGTAACACAAACACTTTGAGAATTTATTCCATAGCCAGTGTAATAAGCACATGCCTCCTTATTCCTCAGAAGGAAATGGCTAAAATTAATTGGCTATACTGTCCCTCAACCTGTCACCTCTGGGCAGAAGAGTAGAGAAAACATCAAGTACTTCTGAGAGACATGATTGTTTTTTTGTGTGAACATCAAGTACTTCTGAGAGACATGATTGGTTTTTGTTTTTTTGTTTTTTTGCATGCTTGGAGTGGGTGGGCAGGATTCAGCATGTTTTTGACTAAACAGAAGGTTGCTTGTGCATCTCTAGTGTACGTGGTTGTATGGATAGAAGAGACATCAGAATCATGTGCTGCAGTAGCTGATCGCTAACATTCCAAAACTCAGTCCACATGGTGACTTACTATACATGGAGGCATTCCAAAACTCAGTCCACATGGTGACTTATACATGGAGGCCCCAACCATGTAATCTGTACCCTCCAATAGCAGCAAGATACAGATTACACCTAAAGACCCTCTTGATCTGCTGAGGCATCTGAGCCAAACAAGACCTTGGTACTTAACAAAGGTCACACATAGTGAGAGGCCATTAGATATAATCCCATCCAGCCCCATCTCCCAGCATGAGGGTGCTTATATGCATGTAAAATGTGTTATTCTTCAAGAGACTTTAGTGTCTGCGGTTTGCTAGATGGAGAGCTGGAGCTGCAAAGACAGAGAAGAGTGGTGAGCAGGCCTATTAATCATTGCAGTAGGCAGCACGCTGCATACGTATTTTGTGATTTTCAGTAGTGATATGTTTTTTCTGCTGGTTTTGCTCATAAACTGGGTAGTGTACATTTCAACCTTCACACTAAATGATTTCACCTTTTGCCATGGCAGCATAATAACGTGGGCTTTGCTCACCATGAAAAATGAAACACAGGAGGGTACTTTAAGGCAGCCAAAATTAGCTCAGTGCAGAAGAGCTCTGAGGGCAATTTGTGCCATATGTTTTTATTAATCACACAGTAGGTGTGTCAGAAATGCACTAAGGTAAATGCATGGAGATGGGGGCACTCCCAGCTTTATGAAAAGGAACTGCACATGGTATTTAATAAATCCTATATTCGTACGACATGTGTTTACCCCAAGGTTGTACGTGGCAGGAAACCAGTAGAAAAACGTTCTTTCTCCCCAATGTGGTTGTTCACTGTATGAAGATGGTGTTGTAAAAGGTCAGCAGTGTCACTTTTCTAACTTCAGACTTTACTGTTTCAGGGCAAACTTGGCAAAAGCGTTGCCTTGCCTCTATAGCAGCTGGATAAACACATTATGCTACTAAACGGGGAATAAGCAGTCTTTGCAGGCCCAGATTGCACATTTTTATTTTTATTTTATTTTGCACCAGAAATTCTCCAAAGGCTGCATGAGCCATGAAAATTTTTTAAAAATGGAGGGGAGGGGCGTGAAACTATACTCAAAATTAAATGGAAATGAGTAAAAAAAAATTTTCCAGTGAGAGAAGCAGCAGCCTATTGCAAATATACATAATCACACCCAGACATATCTAGGCATGGGCAGTATACCTTTGTTTGCTAGAGAAAACTGTTTTTGGGTAGGAGCAGGGTAACAAAATAAAGGCTTTTGCTAAATGAGCATTAATGTTGCTAAATGAGCAACCAAAAAGAGAGAAAAATAGTGTAAAGTTGGAAACTACATGACAGTTAAAGTGACTTTGAAATGCTTATCTTTGCTCTTTCATTCAACCCTTCTGAACTCAGGCAGTGTGTTCACAGCACACAATGCCTTAGCTGCAAGGCTTATTTTGGTAGTGTAGTGGGAGGGGTAGGTGGGTGGAGAAGTCAGTAGCAAGGAAGACAAGATTGCAGGTGGGAGAAAGCAACACATATGAAAGTGTGTTTATGGAGGAACTGACATGAAGTGGGGAGAAAGTACTTGAACCCTTCCTTCGTTCCTTCCTGCCATTTATGTGTTATTAAATTAGACAGACTAGTAAAACTGCATTGTGGCAGTACTGTATACGAAAAAGTCAAGACAAAAATGACCCAGACAAAGGACTTTTTCCCCACCACTGACCCCTCTCCAAGTTTTCTCTCACAATGCTCTGCTCTGTCAGATTCTGCAAGCTGTAGCTCATATTTTCCCTCTTAGTGAAATCCTCTTTCTAGTCCTAATTTTTGTTTTTGAAATTAACAAGTGTCAACTCTATTTATCTCAGTTAAGCTATAATAAATAAAATATAAAGCAAGAATGGTAGAAGTACTTTCTTCTTGGTTCCCTTATGATACTGCATGTTATGGTTCTCAATAAATTGTTTAACACACTGGTTTTTATCATCAGCCATCACATTCCCTTTGCCACTTTCTCATAATGGTACAAACACATCCAAAAATGAATTTGCCTGCACCCTAACAAGTTACCCTTCCCCAAGCTGGTGCCTTCCACCACAGGCTGCATCTCTATTCCTTACCCTGCCTTTTAACTGACCAGCATTACTGATGCCAGACACTGATATACACCCAAAACAGATTCCTCAGTTATAGGTGAGAATTGGGTATCATCTACATATTGGTGATAGCAAACTCCTAGTGGTTTCATTACAAACTTTCCCAAAATTGGATGGATGGATGGACAGATGGATGGTCCCCCATTCCTTTGAACACTCAATATAAGATTTGATCATGGGAGAGAAGATCAATTAATAGTAGGAAGAGATTGTAGACTGAGACAGGCATAATTAGCTGATTAGGCAAACACACTTTTCAGGTTTGTGTCTTTTCTAATTTAACCTGCAAAGCATATTTGGTCAGAATTCACACTGGACACAGAAGGGCCAGAATCCTACTGGTGATTTGTGTGTGGAATCTTGTAAGTCATGGGGGCAAATTACAACTAATTAATGAGATGCCAGCCATGTTCCTGGTTACATACTCATTGCACAACCCTGCACCTGCCAGAAATGCAATCAGTGCCTTGTTAATAAGGGGCAATTAGCAACTATGTGGTTTCCTGTGTAAATCACTAACAGGATTCTGGCCAGGATATTTATTAGTATGTTATGAAACTATTGCTTTCTTTCCTGAAACCCATTGAACTCTTTTTAAAACTTATTTGATTCTTATCTGGTTATGACAGTTAAACAGTTTCCTAAAGATACGTACATGTTTATTCATGAGATCTGATTGTGTGTGTGTGTGTGTGTGTGTGTGTGCGCGGTCTGTCATTCATGTTGTATGAGATCTGATTGTGTGTGTGTGTGTGTGCGCGCGGTCTGTCATTCATGTTGCTCTGTTTTGTTGTGCTTTTTAAATATAATAACAAAATTTAAATGCATTAGAGTGTTTTCAACTCTTACCACAAACCGTATATCATAGTAGATATATGTGAGACAGAGTATGTCATTTTATTCTTATTCTGTCATTTTCCTTGGTAGTATAACGTGCAGAAAGTAGGTTCAGATGTTGGAATTATCAGCATGTCCAGTGCATGAACTGAAAAGTCCTATTTCCTACTGGTTTGTGCTGCATCTACATATGTAACTCACCAGGAAGTCACATGGCATTTTGCTGGAGGATTTTTGTGTCCCTTGCCTGTCCCCAAAATTGCACATAGAAGAGTAAGAAGGGCAGTGTTGAATGCCACAAGGATAATAGTTAAGGCACATGAGTTTATCCTGAAGGAGAGTCCTTGAATTGAACAAGTGCTCCCTTAGGTCTATGCAATGCCCTTCCACAAATCAACTTAATTCCAGGGTTTTCTTCTTTAAAAAAAAATCTTCACAAGACCTCAGGCTGAAGCTGAATGAAGCTGCAAAGTCATGTTCAGGACACATCGGATACCAGTGATGGAGCCAAGAATAAAAAGCAACGACAAGTGCTGGAACTGTGGGGGAAGAGAGAGGAAATCCCCTTATGCTAAGACAGAACAGTCAGGAAGGCAATATAGCAGACAGAAAGACAAATTGGAAAAATATGATCAGATATCCTGACCTTCAGAATGTCCCTGTTGTCACAGAAAATGGAACAGCTGCACAGTACATTGAAGTATAAGCCATTTATACTGAAGCCTAGTTTTTTCCAGACAGCTGATGCAGGGTTGACTTTGTTCTTCATCATGGTCTCTATGCATTGTAGGTATAGGGCTGTACTGAATCTTTTATCTATGGAAAAAAATTTTTGTTGCATTCCTGCCCCTCCTCTCTATAACACATTTAACAGGAGGGCTATCCCTTACTTCTACTGTGTCCACCACCACAGCTATACATAGTGGGACACTTCAGAGCAATCGTTAGACTGAACCAAGTCATTGGGGGGTTTACAATTAAATTATTGTTTGTTTGTTTCTTTTATTCAATTTTTGTTTCAATGTTTTTCTGTTGATATCTCATTCTATATTTTTTCTTGTTTTCATTTCTCCTCAGGGCATGTGGCCTCAGGATCTTTCTTTAAGTACTATTCTGTTTATTAAGGGAAAATTCCCTTCATAGACAAAAACAAAATGTCTTTTCTGCCTTGGAAAAGAACATAACACCTCTGTCAGCACAGTCTGTCAGCCCATTTTTGAGTCAGATGAGACGTAACCATAGTGTTAGTTTAAAATATTTGGTTTTTGAGACCAACAATTCCATCATTGACTCTCCCCCAAAAATGTAGATCACATGGAATTGTCAAAGTCTCTTTGCTTTACCTCAACTCCAACCATAGCCTCTTCTTTTGCCTTGGTGTTATCAAACCAGGCAAATAGGAGAAATCAGAGTATTCAGATCTTTCTAAAAAGAGAGAAAAGAAAGTTAAACATCTTAAGTAAACTATCATTGACTGTACTGAGACAGAAGTTATCTCATGCTGTTCATCTTCAGAAATTCCAGGATGTGAGTCTTTTCCTCCCAACCTAGCCTCAAAACAACCCCTCCCCACATACATGCATATACAAGCATTTAAGGGTAAGATCAGAGAAAAGTTCATTGTGGCTAAACTCTTGGAGAAATTCAAGACTGAGCAAATGTGACTGGTTCTGGCAAAATCCCATGTTGTGTGTACCGATTATTTTATTTATTTATTTATTTATTGCATTTATATGCCGCCAATTTAGACATGGTCTACTCTGGGTGGCTCACAACATACAAATAGCAAACAGTTTAAAATATACACAATATACATAAATAAAAACAGAAAAATATATAATCAAAGAACTTACAATTTTTTATAAGGCCTCTTACCACCTTTTCTACCATTCTTCAAGAGCTACAAATAAGAAAGTGTACTATAAGATATTATACATAATGATCTCAAGGTATCATACATAATAATCTCAATTTTGGTCATCATCTAGATACCGACCAGAAATATCCAGTATCTTCTTGTCTGTATTACTTTCAGTATCCAGAATACAGCCATTACTTGCAACCATGCAGGTAGTTCCCAGAGAGATATTCATGTCATTGTCATCACACACTGATGCATTATTACTTACCATTTTCTTATTAATTTGCCATTATTCTGAACACTTGTCTTACTGTTACGTTCTTGTTCACAAGACAGCTGTACCTCATCTGTAGAGAGCAAGACAGTCTCCAGCTTGTATTGCAGCAACAGTCTGAGAACCACTGATAATTTCAGCACAGATTTCTGCTTCGGCTGTTGTGGGGTACTGCATCTTAGAATTCTATCCATGGTACCATTGACTGGTTCCTCATCTTTGCTTCCAATGTTCCCATTTGGTTGTGAAGCCATCATGGTATTGATTTGCATGCTAGTTTATGTAGTGGGTCATCCCTCACTGTGATGGTTCATTACTCAAATAGCTTTGTCAACTCCTGTTGCAGCTATGCCTTCACCAAATTCACATGACTAGGCCATACTCCACATAAAAACAGTTGTCTCTTGTTATCATCCTTCTACCTTTATGGTCTCTGTACACTCTGCCACTTTGTCAGCACATAGTGAGTCATCGTCTCCAATCCTCCTGTTAGTAATCAAGATCCTCGTTCCCCTTCTGAAGACTACACATGATTTTCTGAGTTATTAATACATGACATAGTGTTTACAGATTTCTTTTCTGATGAGAGCGGCCTTTTGAAGATTATCAGTAGTCCACATGCTGAACAATGTTCCAGTGGGGCACCTGAAGCTGTCTTCACTGAGGAATACTATTAAGATCGCATGGCATAACCATCTTTGACACCAGCAATATCTTGTTGAATTAAAACGCTGCAGTGTTCAAGAAGATTTTTGCAAGTTTTTGTCTAAACATCCAGTCTCTAAATCTGGTTTTGCCTGATCATCTAATGAAAAGAAGTCATTGTCCAAGGTTGCCATTTGGACGTCATGGATTGTTAAGCATGTTCTGGAGCTGCCTTAGACCTAAAAGTTATCAAAATGCTTACTTGAGGAAGTTTAAGAATTTTACCTGGGCAAAGTGTCCAACTTGACAGATAAAAATGAGACCGTCTTTAGCAATGCTCCAGTTGTCCTGTCCCAGCTTCTCCAGGTGCTGATTCTGAGTGGGATCCAGAGGCAGGGCATCAAACCACAGAACAGTTGTGTGCCCATCCACCAAATTGATGATACAGTGGTTCATGCCCATCTCTACTGACAATCATTCAAGTATTTGAAGAGTGCTATCATATATCTTAGTATTCTTCTCTCAAGGCTAAACATGCCCAGTTCTTTCAGTATCTCCTCATACTGCTTGATTTCCAGCTCCCTGATCATCCTTGTTGCCCTTGTTCCAGTTTGTTGACATCTTTCTTAAAATGCAGTGTCTGGAACCTGACACAGTACTCAAGATAAGACCTAACCAATACAGAACAGAGGGGAACTAGTACTTTGTAGAATTTGGACACAGTACATCTGTTAATGCAGCCTAAAATAGCATTTGCTCTTTTTGCATCCGCATCTCATTGTTGGCTCATAAAGCTTGTGCTCTAAAACAATTCCAAAATACTTTTCTAATGCAGTATTACTGAGTCAGATATCCCCTGTCTTGTAACTTCCCCCCCCCCGCCCCCAGGTGTAGAACTTTGCACTTATCCCTGTTAAATTTCATTCTATTGTTTTCAGCCCGGTGCTCAACCCTATCAAGATCTTTTTAAATTTTGTTTCTGTTTTCCAGGGTATTAGCTATTCTGCTCAATTTTGTTTCATCTGCAGATTTAGTAAAGATTGCCCGTACCCTCTCATCCAAGTCATTAAAATGTTGAAGAGCACCAGGCACAGGATTAAACCTTATGGTCAGTGTGAATGGTTGAATGGATGAATACTGTAGTTCTGTATGGAAAACACTCCAACACAAAGACATAAAGGAAGAAGGATCTGGCAGTCTTCTTGCTGTTAATTTTCTAAGTGCAGAGGGGTGTGTGTTGTTTTCTTTTGATTTCATTTCATTTGTTTGTCTGGACGAGTTTGAATTAAGTGATGTGAAAACATACAGTCTAGTCTGAAAAACTACCATCCAAATCAAACTTCATTTTCTCAATTGGTGTTCATAAGGACTAGGCCTCATTCTTCCTTGTACTCTAATTTTATGCTTGATTTTTGAAAGGAGTTAATTATGTCAGTTCCATGGCTATATTCCCCAAGGATAGAGGCCTGGGTATTGAGTTTTTTGCTTTTTGCTCCTAACAGGAGGTATGCCTGAGGCGGTAACAGTGAGCACGTCTGTGACGGTGACCGTGGGTGGGAAGACAGGAATCGCTGCAGGTAGGAACTTCTTGTAATACACTTAAACTTTAACGTTGGGTATAAGGATGGAGAACTCCCTTTTTTTAACATGAACCAACAGAGGCCCAGTGGTTTCGCTTGCCAGTCATATGATTAATTGGTTGAATCCACTTTGTTAAAACCTGATCTCCAAAGGTCACATGTATAGTTTCAGTGTCATTTTTGCTGTTTGGCAAACATTTTATTTATTATATTACTAAGTGTACTCTTTCCTCTGTCTTAAAACCTTCAATTATTTTTTAAATCAGCATCCATGGAGAGTTCCCAGGCATGCCCCAAAAGGGAAAACTCTATAGTGTTGGCAGAAAACATCCTCAGCAGCCTCTATTTTTTACTCTCTTTTTTTCAATAAAAGTTTACATCTCATTAAAAAGATAATTGCAGAGGCAAAACTGAAACCTGCAAATCTTCAGTTCAGCTCTGTTGGATGTGTCTGAATCTGTGACTTGAGACAGATTTTATTATTGTTTGTTATTCAGTAAACAAATACAGCATGTGATTTGAAAGCATTCAGATTCTAATTTTTGTGCCTTGTGTCCCTTTAAAGTATTTCACCCTCCTGAAATCAAAGGATCTGTAAAAGCAGGGTAGTGATTGGTGATTACATTGGTCGAATGAACATGGAGAAGCAGGAGTTTGGGGGTGACTGGTGGGTGAGTGCTAAGTGATGGCTCATTCTGACTTTAGAAATGTCATGTTTTGCTGGTAGTAGGTATTTCTACTTTCCGTATGAGGTCAATATAAATTTAGATAGTTTTCTTTTTAAGATTCAAAGCTACTTTGAGAAATAGGAGGTTGAGAGGGTGTGTTAAGAATTGAAGAGAGACCGTTGGTGAATTTTGCACATTTCAAGATCTATGGTAGCAGTGGAGAGAATGATAGAGCTTGAAGAATCAGGATGGTCAACAAACTAGTTTTGAATAGAATGCAAAAAAGCAAAACACTCCGTGTTTCCTAAAATACTGAATTTTAGTATACAAAAAAGCTCTGAGTTTGTTGTGGCTTTTTCCGGACAGAAGCTGTGTGATGGAAACATACGATGCTGTAATCTATACTGTATCCTTGTCGAGAATTAGGAACCCCATTAGTGGCTATAATGCTGCTAACAGCTTTTGATCACTGAGAAAATATTAACTAAAGCATAATTATTAATTATAGTTTAATTGAATCTATTTTGTCTCTAGAGGAATACGCCTAGAGCCTTTTGCAAGCAAAATGAGCTCTCAATGTATGTCAAAAGTTGTGTAATATCTGGAATTTCTACCCTGGTTGCAACTAATGTTACTGACTGTTCTCTCATGTGAGTCAATAACCTGGGGCTTTATTTGTCACTGGGGAGAAACAACTATAGTTACATTGCAGCTGTTGTCACATTTAAGGTCCCAGTGAAACCGCTGGAATCTGTGTGGGATTTCTGCTCTTTCTTTGGTCCATTTACATGATGTTCTCTCACTATGTGACCTTCTCAAGTGAGTTATTTGTTTAGTATCTGATCATTATTCCAAGCATGAACAAGCCTGTATGTGCATGGCTGTACAGATGCTTATTTATAGAGCTGATTTGGTTGCTGCAGCATATATGGCCAGAGTTTGCATTTCATGTTTTCTTAATCCAAAACATGTTATAGGTAGTTCTTCACTTCCCAGTATTGATTTCTAGATGTCAGGATATTTTGTTTTTCTGTTCCCGGTCTCTCATTTTGCATTGAAAGGTCCTGTTTTTATTATTAGGTGCACTGAAAGGAATTATCAGTTCTTTGATTTGTGTCCATATAGAGGGCCTTGAGATATCTTTTTTCTTAATAGCAGCTCTAAGTGGCCCTTGATGGGCTGTTCTGAGCTCAGATGAGTTTCAAAAGTCATTTCTGACAACACAAAAATGAAACAAAAATGAAAGGGCCTATTTTATATCCACATTCCACAATGTTACAGTTTATATAAAAGCCTACTTTAGAGTTTGACTTTTTGCCTCACCCCTGTGCTTTGATCTCACCTGGCTTGGGACTTTACCACTGAGGCAAACAGATGTACAAGAAATGAATTCTTGTATGTGTGTGTGTGTGTGTGTGTGTGTGTGTGTGTGTTTCCCTTTCTTATAATTGTAAGGAATTTCCTTGGGAAATCAACATTTTAGTCCACTGGCTTGAAGCCCATTCCATATTTAGGATTGCAGCCCAGGAGCTGGTTTAATCTCTCACACAGCAGACACTGCCTGACTGAGGGTTATCTGCCTTTGCTGTCCTTGCTGGTTTGTCTCCTGATTGCTTCTGATGTGCTGGAAGGGAAAGGAACCATCGACTGTGGACCAGATGAGGTTTATGTACTGCAGGGCATTTTGAGACGGGCACCCATAGACTTCGCCACATTCCTTCAGTTCCTGAATTATTTGATATCGTTCTAATTCTAACAGGAATTAGAGCAGCGAGGGTGGTTGCTATGGTAACTGTTTCCTTGTGCCTTTGGTCTGACTCATTTCAGACAATTACTCTCCCGCTCCAGGATTCACAGATGTGATAGAGGAAGAATCATGTGCTAGGCCTTCAACTTTTCAATTTTAATTTCCTCTTCTTCCTTTCTCTGGTATTAACTCTTGCATCATGCCCACCTTATTGGAATGTGTCTTGAAAGTGTGTTTTCTGTGATACATACAAGCACTGTGATGATTAAGCCTGGATATTTATAGGGCTCCTGGTGTATGGAGTATATTATGTTTCTATGCTGTATGAGAGCATGGAGTGCCAAATGCATGAATCTATGTACTTTATGCTGGTTCTTCATATAGGGCATTTTCTATATGAGCAGGGTATTTGCACATACGGTAGATATGAAAATAGATTTTTTCTGGTTTTTTTCTGTGTATGGGTTTTTTCTGTGTATGGGAACTATATGTTGATTGTCATATATACAGAAATACAGCTTGAGTGGCAATGTGGTTTGTGCATCTGTGAATATTAATATGTGATGTTTCAGTCTTGTGCACAACTACATGTGTAGTTGCTGGTGGTACGTAGAGAATGCTTGTAGTCAATCATTCAAGACACCTTTTTCTTAATGATTATAACAATATATACTTTGTAGAAAAGGTACGATGACGATATCTTACTAGGCTGCTGAATAATAAATAGGCTGTTGAAAAGTAACATAATTTATGGATGAGTAATTTTTGTGTATCAGGCTGAAAGCTGCCAAGACTGAATGCACATAAATTTATTTTATTTATATCCCGTCTATCTGGTCGATACGACCACTCTATTTATTTATTTATTTATTTATTTATTTTATTTCTATCCCGCCTATCTGGACATATTAGCCCACTCTAGGCGGCTTACAATAAAAGAAACAATATAATTTTAAAACATTACACCTAGACTAAGATAGAAATCAAAGAAAGATATAAGAAAGGAAAAATCGTCAGGAGTTTTCTGTTGGGAAAGCCTGCCTATACATCAATGTTTTTAGTTGTTTCTTAAAAATGTCCAGCGAGGGAGCC